AAAATTCTAAAAACATAAGCAATTGCATTACTTTTCGCTGGAATCGGTGAAGTGAAATGACGAAGGCTGGTGAATGCCTTCGGGAAGCCAGTCAGCCGATGTGCCTTCTTTCGATGAAAGCAAAAGTAAGGATGGGTACCTGGAATGTTCGTTCAATGTACGAAACTAGAAAGGCTGCCCAGATAGCCGCTGAAATGAGAAGGTGCAGAATAGAAGTGTTGGGAATCTGCGAAAGCAGATGGAACGGAACTGGAAGGTGCCAACTACCTACTCGAGAGACAGTAATCTATTCCGGCCACCCAGATGACAACTCAAAAGGAAGGAAAGTTACAGTCATTCAATGCTATGCGCCTACAAACGTCTCAGAACAAGAGAAGAAGGAGGCGTTCTACAGACAACTACAAGCAATAATGGACAACGTCCCAAATGGCGATATCAAAATCCTGATGGGCGACATGAATGCGAAGCTGGGAGGAGACAACACAGGAAGAGAACTCACCATGGGTCGTGAGGCCCTCGGTGAAATGAACGACAATGGTGAACTCTTCTCAGACTTCTGCGCCTTCAATGATTTGGTGATTGGCGGTAGTGTGTTCAAACACAAGGATATACACAAGACGACATGGATTTCACCAGATGGAAACACCAAGAACCAAATAGACTTCATCTCAATTTCAAGAAAGTGGAGACGGAGCCTACTGGACACAAGGTCAAGGAGAGGAGCAGATGTGGGTTCAGACCACTATCTAGTAGAAGGGACTTTCAAGGTGAAACTAAAAGCCTCGAGGATAGCTGGGGATAGGCCACAATGCAAGTTCAACACTCAATTACTGAAGGACACAACCACAAAAGACACTTTCACTGCAACTGTCAGAGCAAAGCAGGAAACACTACGCGACATCACTGAAGAATCATGCGTGGAAGAACATTGGAAGTCTCTGAAGGCGATTCTCAACGAAACGTGTTCAACGGTTCTAGGAAGAAAGAAGAGACAAGACAAGGAATGGCTCTCAACGGACACTTGGAAATTAATAGAAGAGAGGAGAATGGTGAAAGAGAAAATGATTCAATGCAAGGACGGACAGGAGAAGGAGACGCTGAGCTCAACTTACAAAGCACTGGACAAAGAAGTGAAGAAGAGTGCTAGGAAGGACAAAAGACGATTCTACGACAATCTAGCTACTGAAGCTGAGAAGGCAGCAGGCAAAAGGGACCTGAGGACACTATATCAGATAACCAAATCTCTATCCGGGAAGAGATCAACACAAGCGAAACCTATAAAAGACAGCCAAGGGAACCCATTACCAAGGAAGAAAAACAGATTAAACAATGGGCGGATCACTTCAAAGGACTCTTGAACCGACCATCACCTGCAACCCGTCCAGAAATACCAACAACAGCGCACACACAACTGCAAGTTGACACCAATCCTCCAACGAGAGCTGAAGTCTTGAACGCAATCAAACTTCTGAAAGCTGGAAAAACAGCCGGACCAGATGGAATACCCCCTGAAGCACTGAAAGCAGACCCAGAGACTACAGCAGACATGCTGACTCCATTATTGCAAAAGGTCTGGAAGGAGGGAAAGGTGCCTACTGACTGGAGGAAAGGTTACCTCGTGAAACTACCAAAGAAGGGCGACTTAGGCCACTCTGCAAGAACTGGCGAGGAATCATGCTCCTATCGACGCCAAGTAAAATCCTGAGTCGCATCATCCTGGAGAGATTAAAGGACGCACTGGAGACAGAACTCCGACCAGAACAAGCTGGATTCAGGAAAGGCAAATCATGTACTGACCAAATTGCAACTCTACGCATCATCATCACAGAACAAAGCATGGAATGGCAATCAAACCTCTACCTCAACTTTATAGACTTTGAGAAGGCCTTCGACAGCGTTGATCGTGAAGTAATTTGGAAATTACTCGAGTACTATGGCGTACCCCAAATATTCATCAACCTTATTCAACAGCTGTACGACAACGGCACCTGCCAAGTGATCCACAACGGAAGACTCAGCGAGGCGTTTGGAGTAAACACAGGAGTCAGACAAGGGTGCTTACTATCACCAATGATATTCCTAATTGTGGTGGACTGGATTATGCGTCAGACAGTGGGAAACGAGAAGACAGGAATATCCTGGACCGACGTGAAGAACCTAGAAGACCTGGATTTCGCGCGTGGATGATTTATGTTTGATGTCACACACAATCGAAGACTTACAAGCGAAAACCGACAAACTGGTCGAAGAAGCAGCCCGAAGACAGGACTCCAGGTAAACATAGACAAGACGGAGGTTATGAAAATAACCAACCAACAACAGCAACAACATCCAACGTCAATCACCATCAACGGGAGGGATTTGAAAGAGGTTACTTCATTCACTTATCTAGGGAGCATTGTCTCAACTACAGGAGGAACGGACGAGGATGTCAAATCGAGAATCGGGAAGGCGAGAAACACATTCATCAACCTGAAATCAATCTGGAAATCTTCGTCACTCAGCATCACCAACAAAATTCGGATTTTCAATACAAACGTAAAGTCAGTCAGTTCTTCTATACGGATCAGAAACTTGGCGGGTGGTCACAAAGAATATTTCCAACAGGCTGCAGACCTTTATTAACAACTGTCTTCGCTCAATACTGAAGATCAGATGGCCGGAAAGAATCACCAACAAGGAATTATGGGAACAAACAAAGCAAGAACCAATCGCCCAACAAATATGCAGGAGAAAGTGGAGATGGATCGGACACTCGCTGAGGAGACCGCTGGGTGACATCGCGCGTCAAGCCCTCGAGTGGAACCCGAAAGGGAAGCGGCGTGTGGGACGTCCAAGGGTGACATGGAGGAGATCGTGTGAAGAGGAGTTGAAAGAATATGGATTAACATGGATGCAGGCGAAAAGTATAGCAGAAGACAGAAGCAAATGGATTCGTGCAGTTGAAGCCCTATGTTCCACTAGGAACCCAAGGGAGCAATAATAATAATAATTAGGCATAACGCACAATGTGGTATAGCAATGAAAGCTGGATGACATTTTAATGTGATCATATCAGGGCATCCATATACGTTTACATGCTTGTATTCCATGCTGTTTATCAAAGCAATTTAGCGATTGCATGTGTTTGGTGTTGATTTGATGAAGGAAAATTCTTTGAATGACGTGTCTTTTCACCTAATTGTATTACTTTTTAATACTTCTACCCTATCTCCTTCTATCGTGTGATTATTTAAAAGTGAATACATTACAAGTTCAATTTTTATTTCGAAATTATTTTACTTTTCAGCGTTAGTCAGTATGGATGTAGCGTAGCTCCAAATGTTCTCATAGAATAACGGACCCCAATTTACTAAAATGACCTATGTAACTGACCTCATAATGATTATATGGTGGTTTATATTATTCCTGAAGATTGGATGTGTGAAGTTCTAGGCCAGAAAGTTTTGTCTTTGATTGAGTCGGTCGGTTGAAATACCCCCTTGTAAGAGCCTTTTTAAGAATCCTACTTAACCCCGGTCAGTCAAGTTTGTACTGTCTCCACCTTCGTAAGTGGCTCATCATCATGGTTCATTGCAGTGTCAGTTGTTGATATCAGACGGTCGTACGATATCAGCAAAAATCCCTAACTGGCCTAACTTTAGTGCTTGCGGGTACTTACTGGTTAGCAAGGCTTATCTACGACTTTGAAGTAACACATTCCCCTTCTGGGATTCGAGTTCGCGTCGCTTGACTGACAGTATTCAGCCTTCGCCACAAAAGAATTGGACACATCACACTAGTTACTGACTAATGTCCAACCAAAGAAATCCTATACATTCCTACAGGAGGTCGATCTCTAGCCCGAGTAGCGCAGTGGTAAGGACTCTGACCACAGCTCTCATCGGGTGACGTGGGTTTGAATCTAACGAGGGTCATGAATTCCTTCAAGACGGTTGTAGATGAGTCTTAATGACAAGTGAGTGCCAGCTAGCACTAAACCTAGCTCCAAGGATTCCTGGATGCCGATTGCCTTCAACCATTTAATATCACCAAATCAATGTGCACCATGATAAAGAACTACCCAGAATGTCGACCACATTGCAAACCTGACTGATCGAATTCAGTCTGCACCGAAGGCAGGACTAGTTACCAGTGTCCAATCGAAGTACTACTGATTATATATGTGTGAAGGATTTGGCTGCCTATTCAGAATTCAACATATTGTGTGTGTCGTCCACATACGTCCACCATAACTGAGGATCAGGACTCAAACGTCTAAGAGCTTTAAGGCCCCAAGTATCTGTAAATATGTCCATTTCTACCACTGTTCAATTCGTTCAATTCAACACACGTAGGCCTTAATTCAGCTAAAATTGTAGTTCTATATGTGAGTTAAAAGTCAACATTCAGCTCATTCCTTACGGATTCCAAGACAGTGTTGGCAAATAAACTTGTCACGAATTTTCGTTCTTTTCTATTTAGATTTTGCCTAGCTTTATTTGCTTCATTTCATATGAATTAATCTCTCTAGGATTTGATCAATTTCAGACGTGAGATATCAGATCCAGGAATCCAGTTTTCAACACTTTATCATTATATTACTCATCAAATAAACTAATCTAATGTGGAATACGTAAACTTTCTATGAGTAATAATCATTTTCCAAGTAGATTTCTTCATCAACTGACATTAGTTTGAGGGTTGTTGTCAAACACAGATCACTGGACACCTTTTTCATACTAATTATGAACTATTCAGTAGTGTGCATCCACATAACCACAAAGCATCGAACACAAAACATTCATGTAACAGACTAGTATCCCTTGACTCATGTATCCCTCTTTCTCTGTGTTTATAGAACTAGGAGGAAGTAGCCTTTAAGTACACCCTGATTTTCAGTCATGTTCTAGCTGATATCAGTTCGTGACGAGATCCACTTTCAAACTGACCGAATTTCTAATATTCAAGACTCAAAAGTAATAATCGTCTTGTATATTTTTTTTGTCTGTTTCGTACAGATTCCGCTGTTCTAAGCACTCCTGTACCACTCATCAACAAGACAATTAGTTACAACAACATTTCAAATGTGACTACAAAGGCAGATTCACTTGCTCAAACCAATGAATCAGATAAAATCAGCAGTAACCAAGTAACAAGCACACAACAAAAGGTTGCTAGCACTTTGAAACCGACAAATGAGCCAATCATTAGTACAAATTCAGGTATCAAATTCTTGAAATATAACACTGGTGATACAATACATCTGAAATGTCGGATTGCGAAAGGACCATATCTGGTATGTATTGTGGATACGTTTTGTGCTTTCTACTTAGTTAAGATCCTTTTGTATTATATTTATTTATTGATTTTATGTTTCTCAGTGGCGACGTTGAAAGAGTTACACAGGTTGATTGAAGTGCGACGAAAAAATTAGAAGCACAGTTACTCTATTAGTCCTAAATTATGTCATTGTAGACCTCCTCACCAAACCAACAGCAATTAAGGAATCACAGGAAAGTAAGAAGTACTGGATAGCACCTTTTTTCATAGTTTACAGCGTTTGTCTAAAAAACATCAGTTTCTGAGCCCCACATCTCACGCATTTTTAATTCATACATTCAGGAAGTTATTTATGATGCTGTCCCCACTGACACTTGAACTCAGGTCTAATCGCTTCAGCATGAAATGCAAAATAAAAATTTGAGTAATGAATATTTTGGCTCTACCAATATATTTATTTATAAACTCACAATATTCTAGAATATTCAAGTATTGGATTTTGTAGGGATTTTGTTTGATTGCATGGAGGATTTAATCATGAGCTGACATCAGTTAGAGAACCACTGGAAAACCTGGGAGTACTGGACAGCCGTTTCGTCCTAGTTTGGGACTCCTCAGCAGTACGCACCCACCGTGATTCGAGGACCATTGGATCGGGTCCCAGTGGCTCAATGGTCTACGAGCTCGCCTTGTAACCAGAAGGTCCTGGGTTCGAATCCCGGTGGGTGCGTACTGCTGAGGAGTCCCAAACTAGGACGAAACGACTGTCCAGTACTCTCAGGTTTTCCAGTGGTTCTCCAACTGATGTCAGCTCATGATTAAATCCTCCATGTATTCTAGAATAGTCATGAATAATAATACTGGTGTTTTTTAAATTATTGTCGATTTGTTAATATCCATGAAAATTATTATTATTTTCTCAGGTTCCGAGTGGGACACAGGGTTTTAAAAACACATTTTCTCTTTCTTCTGTTCTTTACTGTCCTCTTCCACTTACCTCAGGATTGCCAGTAATCTCTCATCTCCTCCAACTTGCAATATCTTCTCCATATCACCCTCGGACTCATTCTTCTGTTCCATTTCGGGTTCCACTAAAGCAGTGGCCTGCATTTTTACATGATGACATTCGATGGCCTCTACATCGTATGCACCGCCTATCTCCACTTTCTCCTACAAGTTGGTTGAGCAGTCGGGTCTTGGTTGGTTTGTTGTCAGCCAGAGTTTCTCCTTGCCATTTCTTCCTGGCTGGCTGGCTGGCGATTCGATCATTAGTATGAAGCCAGCAAAGACAGTTCTTGAAAACAAAAGTCTGTAATTTGGTGGGAATGCGTTTCGGCCCGCCTGTGCTAACTTTCTGACCCATAAAGAACAGCTGACTGACTGATTTCACATTCCCTTTTGAAGTGCGAATCTTGTTCTTTATGCTGGATAACTTCAGAAAATTTCCAAATTGACTTCAAACTGATGAAGGTGTATCATGCATTTCTGATTCTGACTGACAGGCTTTAACACCTTCATCCTGTTGTTGAAACAAATGCCTCCTGGATAAGCGAAAGAAGCAGCCTCTTTCAAGTTTCTGTCGTTGGGGTGATTGCTGTTGGTTGCTGTTGTCTTTGCTGTTAGTTAGTTGGTTGGTTGGTCATCCTCATCACCTTCATTTTCTGTATGTTCACCTCGAGTTCTGTCTTGGCTACTTAAACCATTTTCAGCCAGTTGTTGGTTTTAGACTGGAAGTCTTAGAGTTTTGTATGACATTAGACATTATCATATTATTTGCAAAATCCAGATCTTATTATCAGTGGTCCAGCGTATCCCTTTTAACCGACCTGGTGTACCATGCTGGACTCAACGCCTGCCTAGAACTTCAGGAAACTTTGTTATATGAGCATCAAGTGTGTTCTTTATATATACCAATAATCAGATTAAAGGAATATTTTTTTTCGCTTTTTTTTCTCAGCGACTCTGTTTCGATCTATACTCCTTCCTCTTCAAAGTTAATTGTATTCTTCTTCACTTTGATTCTCTTTTCCCACTCCTAATCACCTCTGTGATTATCCTAATAACAGCGTTGAATTCAGTGATGGGAAAAAAGAGAAAAAAAAGCATTTGACATACGAATTTCTCATTAATATCTAATGTTTGATCCTTAAACACTTTGTATTCCTTTATACTTCTTACTTTGATCATTTATTTTGACATTTGGATATAATTGAAATAGATTAGTTGATATCTGACAGTTTTTTCTAGGGGTATATATATATATATACATATGTATGTATAATGCATACCTTTTGAAGTCCATTAGCATTTCGGTGCTGTGTAGACGTACACAAATTCACACGGGGGTTTGTCAAAACACCTCATTTAATACCTCAGGTAATAGTCAGCTTTATTTCAACAAGCGGTTTTCTTTTCATGGTATGAAAATCTGATGGGTAGAGGGATGTTGTTTACGAGCTTTCTTTTGCATGACATCAAAAAGTTCTGATTTACAGGCTTGTTTCCTTATGCAGCCTTGTAGAAAATACGTCTACTTCGATGCTGAATTGTCGTTTCAGTATGTTTGAGGTTTATGTGAAGCGTTTTCTTTGTGCTTAATCATTGTATGCGTGAATAAAGAATTGGTATGAAACTAGTTAGGTATTGTAAAACAAATACACACACACAATTTCCGGTAAAATTGGTTAATTTTCCGTGGAACAGCTTTACGAAGGGATGATTTTCATGCAGTTTGATGTGGATTCATAACCTACCAACTTTGGATCGGTTCATTTATTCATTTGTGCAATCAAGGGTGATAAACCTAGCGAAATAATTACGGACAAATTAAGAAAATCAGTTCTAAAAACCTTTGACTGCTGACAAACAACAAGTCATATTTTCTACACAACCAATGATGATTCCTCGACAAAAGATGAACTACCTAGACTGGCCACTTCCAATTAAATCTACCAATTCACCTGAGCTTGTGGTAAAGCGAGTTATGTTGCTGTTGTTCTAGAAAATAGTTTTTTTCGGGATCGTTTGCGAACATCTCCCAGTATGGCTAAAAAAGGTGTAGTAAAATCCATCAACAGTTCGATATTAGACCATCTGATTCAAACCGGCCGGACACAAAGCTAGCAATGACAAATCCTTCTCTATCATCTACCGGATACTAAATAAAGTGGAAAAAACATCGAGGTACCGCATACTCCAAACAGCAGAGACTATCACGATTCGCCTAGGAGCAAGTCCAGACAGCCAAAACTACTGCCCTGGCCTTCAGTAGAGTATATAAATTCATAAATCTTTCCTAATTTTTTGACATTCAGTTTATTGTTCTGTTGATGCTATCGAACTTTAATCCATTGATATTATTATTGTTGATTCAGTGTTATTTAAGCAACATTAATGCTGTTAATAACAATAATGCATTCACTATAATGTGTATGTTTAACTGTAGAACCTGATGAGGAAGAGGTTATTGAAAAGAGTATTTTTTGTTCAGTAACCATTTTCTTTAGCAAATTTTAATGGGCATTTTCAATCAGTTAAATTTCATTCGTCTATTTCAGTATCAGTGAAATTTACAACTCTCCTGAAGAATGAAATTCATTTTAAACCACTATACATCGTGATGCTCGTCGACCACGCATGTGGTCCGAGGCTCGAACCCGGCCGACGCCGCACTCCTTCACTTTGGCAAGCTAGTGATAAGACTTTCAAAGAAGGAAGGTTGGTTCTGAGGCTAGCGGCAATCCTAATCTGTAGAAATAAACCCTACTGCTACCGGAACTTTAAGACTTCTAGCCTGAAGCTCTATGTTCCAATGAGAATGTAAGGAAATCAAAAAAATACACAATTATATAATATCTCAGCTTATTAACTTAGTATGAGTCTTCCCATTAGTGAAAAAAAAACCATAGTGTGAGCTCAGTTCTGTTTAATTGTTTCATAAACTTCTTTTCAGTTATCCACAAACTGAATAACACAAATGTATAAACTACGAGAAAGGTTTGAACGTATTTTCAAGGAACTACATACTACCGATTAATTGATTTTGTATAGTAGCATGCTGTTGATATCAACCAGTGTGCTTACCAGTTCTCTCGCTTGCAGTCAAGTTCATAAAGGCTGTACCTGGTTTTACTCAGAGTAGCGAATGAGTTCAAATCACCTGATTTCTAGTTAGCTAGTTGGTCAAAATGGTGACAATAAAAATCAATATAAATTCCGACTTTGCTGATTCTGAGTTTAAAATGAAAAATGAGAACTCAGTCATTAGAAATGTTTTTTGGTAGTGTCTGGTAGTGGAACCTACGATCTACATTTTGTTTTATATCAGCTGATGGCCAGCTAGGTCTGCCTGATCCTCATTCAGAGACTAAAGGAGTGCCCATAGACTCAAATGCCAAAACACTATCCACGACGGCCACTTTTACAACGCATGTACTTTGAAATATTTTGATATACTTTGCACGCAACTCTATTAACTGTTTTTTTTAATTCATTAGTTATATGGTTGTAATGTGTAATATTCACATGTTAGCATAGTACCTAACGAAGACTCTAATTTACTTATATTTTGTCAGTGAGGGGGTTCGAAGTGAATACAGTAGCAGACAAGGCTGCCTGCCCACTATCATCTACGATGATATTCTTATTTGTGGTGGACTGGATTTTGTGGAGACTGTGCACAGGGAGTGAGAAGACAGGGATACGCTGGACCACCGGTAAGATGTCGCCAGAAGGTCTGGATTTCAAATGTGGATGATTTATGTCGAGTGTTACACAGACTCGAAGATTTGCAGGCGAAAACGAAAAAATTAGCTGAAGAGGCTGGCAACTGAGAAAGAAATGCAGATGGTCAGAGAAAAGACGGATGTGATGAAGGTAGCCAACCAAAAGCAGCAATCACGATCAACTTGGGAGAGATTTGACAGAGATGACTTCTATCACTTATCTGGTTAATTAGCACGGTTTCAATCACAGGCGACAGCATGGATGAAGATGTCAAGGCTAGGCATCCAGAAT